GGGGGGGTTGATATTTTTGTTTCAACCATCTGGAAACCATAGCCAGGTGGCCAAGTGGAGACTGAGGAAAAGGGCAGGAGGGGAGGTGTCAGTGGGAGGGGGGGACAGGGTGATGCTGGGAGAGGAGAGGGTAAGGGCACTGGGGGCTAAATGGGGAGGGGGAGGTGCTGGGAGAAGGCTTGAAAGAAGGGATGGGCATGAGGAAAGCGGGGATGGAGCAAGTCATGTGTGAGGGCACAGGGGCATGAGACAAACGGGGGGCAGTTAGTGGTGAGGGGATGGGCATCAGGGGAAAAGAGGGCAAAGGGGGCAGGAGTAGTGAGGGAAGGGGGGCACCAGGAGCATGCAGAGGAAAGGGAAGGTGCAGGTGCCAGGGGATTCTGGGGGTGAAGCAGAAGGGCAGACACTTGCAGGGGAGGGACCAGCGCCAGAGGAGAGAGGCAGGGAAAGTGTGCAGAGGAAGGTTTTAGGAGAGGGGATGAGGAGGGGTGGCTCACATGACCAGAGTGGGGCTACTGGAGGAGTGGACACCGGGGGGAGAGAAGGGCTGGTGGAGGGGGGCAGGTCTCAGGAGGTCTGAGGGCAGTGAGAAGGGCAGGAGTCCGAATCAGGACAGCAGAGGAGGGTGAGGTGTTGGGGGGCAGCAGGCACCAGGGGAACTGATGGAGCAAGAGGAGGAGACATGGCAGCAGAGGGAAAGGGTAGAGGTTTATAAGATATTTATTAATAACTTGGGTGCCACAGTGGCTCATCCAAACAAGCCACATGAACTCAGTACTCGTGCACAACACAAAATTCATTCTGCTCATGGGAAAAAGTCTTAGAGGGAACACTTCCCCCAGCCTCTCCGCCCCTGAGTTAATGTCACACACAGTGGGTTAATGCAATTGCAAGATAGTTGCATGAGGGGGGTATGGTGGGGGCCAAACTAATTGCTATTGGTAGGAGGATGGTGGAAAAGTTTTTAGAGAGGGGACTTTACTTCTGGTCATGTGTCCATCAGAGAAAACATTAAGAACATTCCCACTTCGTCACAATAGGTACAACAAAATATAATATAATATATTTGATGCACAATGGAATCCACAATGGGTTCGTTCCATGCTTATGCTACTATGGTGTTTGTGTGGATAACCTAAGAAAAAAGGCTGCAAATATAAAAAAAGGTGAAATATATATATTTCAATATATATTGAATATTAAATATAATATATTGAAGCGGGCGAGTGCTGCTTCTGACTTTCCATTTTTACATTATTTAATAAAATATATATGGGCTTACCGAGGGGAAGGGAGAGGGGCGGAATAGACCCATTCTGGGCACCACCAAAAATTATGCAAACCTGCCGCCCCTAAACATAATGATGCCTTCTATCTAAAAATCACAAAGTACTTTATAGATGCTTAATGAATACACGTGTGCGTGCAAAACATACAGGCCTGCATGTTGAAGGTGCAAACACCTATGTCTGCTTTCATACTTCTGCATACCCTTTCAGTAGTTTAAATCCTATGGCAATACCCGTTTTAGGTTTTCTATATGCAGTGGCGAGTGCTGTAGCCATATGAGTTTTGTAATACTTGATGGCATCTGTGAGGTGTAGGAATAGGTGTGTACGGGTTTGTGAATGTACAAGGGAAGAAAATCTGGTACAACGTGACTAACTAAATGCTTGGATTTTTTTATATTTAATAATATTAAAAAGTGGTGAAAATCGGATTGGATAGTCAGTCCTTATAATATTAAGTACATTTTTGTGTTCCTTTTCAGGCAGCATCCTTGACAGTGGACTCCTGTTCCGAGGATCAGGAACCAGGCTATTGTACTGTTAGTAATATGGCTGTTTCCGCGGACTGGTAAAGAATATTTCAATTTGTCCTTTGTTGTAAAACGAAGAAGTAAAAATTAATTCTTTATGAGAAGGTGAATTTAATAATTTCTCTGTCAGGCTAGCAACTGGAATGGGGGCTTGTGCCTTTAGGCATACCCCACTATAAGGCGTGTTTGAATAAACTGTACTCCAGCATGATTGGACTGAGGAGTGATTCTTCTTTCTGAGGCAGAATTCTCCCCCTTCCTCCTTCTCGATCCAGGATATAGTAATTTTCAGATGGCCTATAGCCCAGCAAAATAAAACACTGCACCCCTGCTCCTACTGTGGTCCAGCCCAGTTGTACTGGCTGATGCCGTGTAGGAGGAGAAAGAGTGGAGCCACAATTGCCAGATCCCCATATCTGGGGAAAAGTAGCAGACATACCTGGGCAGCCTGAAAAGTGGTATAATGAGGGTGCTTATTTCTCTTCATTCACCATTGTCAAAATTCACAATCTAGCCCAAATTAATTATCAAATCAGAATATCAGACTGTCAGAATCACTGATGCTTTAAAACACAAAAGAAAACTTTAGCTAAGCAAAAGCTACATACTGATGATGACATTCAAGAATTAAAAACCTTGTACTCACGAATCAGATATCTTCCAACTGGATAATAAACAGAATTTGGTCATAATCTAAGCAAACTAAAATGTGCCTTTTGGGAACAGTGAAGTCAGCAATTCTCATTCTGCACCAATATCCATCAGGTTTTTATGTTTCTAGCCTGCGGGATTGGAGATGTTCCTGTTGGGCAGGATGAGTTTCACAGTATTTCAGAAGTAGGATGATTAGAATATAGTTTTGTCCCAGGATAAATCTCTCTCATTATATAACAAAAATGACCTTGTTTTAATTCCATTTAGCCATCACTCTATGTGTGGAACTTCTGTTACAGTCCAGCCAAGATGTGCATATAGAGCTGTCACACAATTAGGCTTATACGGTGAAATCCTGACACCACTGAAGTCAGAAGCAATACTCTCTTTGACTTCATTGGGAACAGGAATTCATACCACCATTTTTAAAAAATGTTTTAAGTTTAGTTCAGCAACCTACTACTCTGTCCTTTTCTAACCCGATTATCTTAGAATATTTGAAATTCTGCAGTGGCTAGTGATAGACATTTTCCTTAGCTAAGCCTCCTATGCATTTTATTTTACAGCCCTCCCCCCTATTTAGCTGAATAAATATAGGAATACAAACCCAAATTCATAATCAAGCAGTTAAGCTCCTAAATTTCACTCTGATGCTGTTTAACTTTACTTTTTACTTTTTATGAACACAGTATCTCCCAGATGATTGCTACATGCTGAGCCTAAGTAACTATTCTCAATTTTTTCCATGTATTTGGAATAATATCCAAATATCTTTGTTGTTATTTGCAGTTTTCACTCTTAGTGTGGGGCAGGGAAGAAATGGCTTGTATGTATCTCATTTTAAAGGAGTGTTGTGAGGATTAATTAGTTAACATTTTAAATACAAATTTAAAATAAAAAGTGCTGTATTAATGCTAAGTATTCTTAATATTATTACAGTTTTCTCACCATTAATCTGGCTCACTTTTAATTTTGCCCTCTGGCTATGGCTTCCCCACTAACAAAGCAGTTGATTGCCTCATATAATAGTGGCTCCTACTTACAATTAAATATGAACCCTAAGTCAAATATTTATTCATTACTGACTCAAGCAAAACTTTCCATCAAGTTAAAGGAGATTTGCTTGAGTGAAAATTGAACAAAAACTTGAAGTTTAGTCCCATTATAATTATTGTTTCAGAGGTGGTTTTAATTAGTGCTGATTTGTCACTGTATGCAATAATTCTGTGATTGTAAAAATGAAACTATGGAAATTGAACTGTAGAAATTAAATATCTTAGAAGATATGAAAGTTATTCTATTAACACCAATTTATGTGCTGATATTAATGCATCAATTCTTCTGCTTCTCTTCTAGGACTCTTGATGTACAACCAAATCGAGTAACTGTTGGTGGCATCAGATCTCTAGAGCCAATACTTCAAAGGAGAGGACAAGTGGAAAGTCATGATTTTGTGGGTTGTATAATGGAGTTTGCAGTCAATGGCCGTCCTCTGGAACCTAGCCAGGCTTTGGCGGCTCAAGGAATCTTAGATCGGTATGTCAGCTATATACAGTATCAGATAATATATATAATAAAGGAAAGTAACATGAGAGTAAAATGTTAATGCAAATGTTTATTAATATTAATATGTAATATACTATCAAATGTAAAAGATGAAGGAAGAATCTGAATTTGGAAATAAGATTATACAGAAATCAAAATGTACAGAAACAAAATACCAATATTCCGCAAAGAGGCAACAGTGCATTTATATTACTATTTGTTACTTTTGTTGCCCGGCAGTCTCAAATAAAGTAACTCTTTTTTAAAAATTCCATGTAAATTCCACTGGGATTTGACTATATTGGTATGGTTCCCTAATCTTCCCTTTCTTCTGTTTATCCCAAATGTCTGTTTTCTACTTTCTCTGTCAAATATCTCTGGATTTTACCCACACCATCTCCTTTGTGAGCACCGTTTTGGAAATGATTGATTAACTGAATCAGTTGTTTTTTGCCATCTTACTGTTTGAAATGATAATTATAGAAACTATATGGTTTGCAAGCCTACAGTTGCCAGTTCATCTTTTCCCTTTTCCCTTTCCAAACTTGTTGTTATTTCTTATGGCATGAGACTTCCTGAACTTCTGTAGCTGAAGATGTTAACTTCAATAACATTCTCCTAGAAAATAGCATCTTGGGACATATCAGTGAAAGTAAAAAGTATCTTTGAATTTTATATCTTCCACCATCCATGGCTTCTGCCTGCCAATCAGTTTTCCTTTAGTACAGGAAAAGCAAAACAGTTTAATAGTGAACGATGGCTCCAGGTTTTCCTTGGAGAATTGCTTGGCAAATTCATAGTAAAACTATTCTACCTGCCTTTTTTAAAAAGTTATTATCTAAGAAAATATTGATGTGTCTTCAGACTCTTTAAATGATTATAAACATTGTATTCATCTGCTTAAAATTTTAGCTGTTCCTCTTTCTTCAGTCTTGTGCAGTACCAGTTCTAAAAACATCTCAACTAATTTTAACAGTCTTAGGCAAAGACTACATTACTCATTTATATCTAACAATACCAGTATCAATTAAAGCATATTACACAGTAGTTCCTTTCCCCATTCCTGTTTCAGCTTATATATACAGTAGGAATATTGCAGAGCTTTTTTGTATGGCATTGTTAGACCAAGAATATGTATAAGCAAAGAATGACACCGAAAGCAGGTTAAGGGAAAGACCAGCGTACAACTCGAAGTCCTGGAATGAAATGCGATAATTTTCATTGTTTTTATTGTGTGACCCAAATACAAGACTGCCATAAAGATATTGCATAGGTTTGAGGAGAGTAGTTTTTTTAGAAGTATGTTGTTTTTTAAGACATACACAAATGCTGATATGTATATGGATATTTTTTGCAAATTATACCACTTAATATTTAATGTGTAGGAATATAAGCATTTATGTTTTCCTCCTCATTTCCTCTGAAGTCTTCTGTCTTTTTTTAATTCTGTTACAACTTGGCTCTGAAAACTGGGAACTGTTTAGATGTATCATATTTCTTCGGTGCTGAGCATTGACACTGTTACTTTTTACTACTTTACAAGAGGCTTTAAATAATTCATTCTTGTGGGTTGGGGAGAAAGGTGTGGTGTCACTTAAACACATGTGACTCTATCCAACAGGCTTATTTTGTTTGCTTAGAGTACGTATTCCAGTGACTACTCTTTTGATTTGTTTTAGATGCCCTAGATTAGAAGGAGCTTGTGCCATAAGCCCTTGCCAACACGGTGGCACCTGTGTTGATTATTGGTCATGGCAACAATGTCATTGCAAAGATGGATTCACTGGGAAACACTGTGAAAAATGTATGTAGAAGGCTTAATTATCCTTCTGTTTAATCTACAGTTAATCACACAGTTTAAACAAGTGCAATTGGTTTCATGTTTTGATGCAATTAACCATTTTTAAATTATGAAAATGTGTCATACTTGCATTCACTGTTACAATAATTATGAACAAAAGGGACACATTGACTTTGTGCCCTATCATCACTTTGAATATGGTAGAAAAACACTTCAAATAAGAATGAACATACACACACACACACATAAATGTAAAAACAAACAAGAGGAGCATAATTATGTCTACAGTTATTAATTTTAAAATAAATAGCTCTGCGTAATACTATTAGGATTGCATAGTATAGCATCCTTCTTAATTTGTATTCAGATTTAATATATTTTTGTGATTGCTCTATGAAAACTATTTAATTCTGTTTTTTTACTCATTTTTTTACATAGTCTATTATCGTATTGCTTATTTATATGCTGCTGATGTGCTATCTAACAAAAGAGTTTTGTTGCATTTCTAGGAGGATTTTCAGGGTTATGCTGTATATTCAATATTATATATTATTTTTATACCAGCCTAAGGTGGGCTAAATGTATTACAGAATAAATAGAATATTGTTCCTGCCCTGAGGAGCATATAGTTTGGTTTTGTCCTAAGGACACCATCCAGAGTAAAGGGAAGAAGGAGCGTACCAAGAAAAGAATTATAACTCACAGAGCCAAAATTACTTTCTTGTTTTCCCCTGGCTCCCAGGATATTTAAAATTTACTCCTACTCTACACTAGCAGTCAGATAACTCTCTCTTCTCTCTGTCTCAGCTGCAGTGGCCAAAAAGTATAAAGATGTGGCCAACGATTCATACATTCATTTTTCTTACCCCACAGAATAATTAGATAAAACATACTCAGTACTTCCTCCTATATTTATCCTAGATATTACTGCCGATACTGCCTTATCATTTGAAGGCAAAGGACGCCTTGACTACCACATGAGCCGAAATAAGAAACGAGAGTACATGATGAAATATGGCACTAGAGGTGCTATTTGGGAGCCTCTGAACGTAAACCATTTGGAAGTGAAATTCAGGACAAGGAGTGAGAATGGAATTTTAATTCATATCCAGGAAAACAGCAATTACACTACTGTGAAGGTAGGATTAACACTAATGCTGACTTGATTTGATTGGACTGCCTCCTGTGTAGTGATCTAAATCACTTCTTCTGTTGCCCTTGTCTTTTTCTTTATAAAATATTACAGCTTTGACTAATACTGGGAGCTATTCCAGTATCTTTCATCTTCTCAACCATTGTTATTTTATTTTCTATTATTTTCAAGCTATCAGAAGGTCTTAGTGGTGTGGTTTCTAATCAGTTTTGTCTAGACTCCAGATAATGTCTACTTTAAGGCCAGCAGGATTATTTGTTGCCATATTTGTTAACACCACTAAATTTCTCTCTAGAGTGCAAATCTTTTTGCTGTTGGCATTTTATGTTCTGTTTTTTCAGACATTCCCCCATCACACTGTCAGACTATCAAACAAAGCCAACAAGCTCTATGAGTTCATGCCAATGCAGTGCACACCAGACAACCTTATTTCATTTACATAAGTCCCTCTTCCTCAAGTTTATCTTCTTCACCAGAATGGAGATGTTAAAAAGGCAAACATTGCATGATTCTGAGATGCACCATTAACTAAGTGCTTTAAGATCCATGCAGATTTTAGCCCTAAATTAAGTTACCTTGCTCAAGATTGGCTATGACTCAATCCACTTAGTCATAATTCTAAATGAGTACAGCAGTGATGTTGGCAGGCCTCTTTATTGGATAGCTGCAAGCTCCAAGTTTCCTTAACTACTGGAATTCTTTCCAGTTTTTTCCCAACATTTGGAGAAACTCCTACATAAGACCACAATTTCTGCGCCTCAGCCAGGACTGATATTGTCTGCTTGCCTGGTTTCAATTCCTACCAGGAGTGCACAACTTTTCTGACAAAAAATACTGCATCATCAATTTCTAAGAAACCCATAATCAATATTTCATTTGCATATAATTTTGCATTATTGTATAAAATAAATGAAATGCAATACATTTATTTTTATTTGTGGCTTCTGTGTTGGATGAATAAGAACTGATAGCTTTTTGTTGCCCAACAAGGAAAAGCTGTAGGTATCTCTTTTGCCCACCCCCTATACGTACAGAAAGAGTGGCAGTGGTTAGGTGCCGTATGTTATGCATGCTGAGCTGCAAGTTGTGCCCCTTGATTCATAACATCTGAGGAGATTTTCTTGTTTTCAATTCTGCAAACTTGGCCGAGTGAAGACTAACTTGGTGGGAATTAATAAACTACTTAAATTTTGCCGACAGTAGAAATTTGACAGGCAACCTCTGTAAGCATGATAAAAAAACAAAGTAGACTTTAGTGGTTAAAATGCTAGTGGCTTGTTTACACTCAAACTCCATCATTTCTAGATACACTGAAGCCTTACTTAATCATGGGTGCAGCAACTATGCACCCCAGCAGCTTCAAAGCTGTGGGGGAGGAGGTGTCACTGTCTGGGCCTATATTGGGAAAGGAACTATTTCCTTTTCAAGCAGGGTGCCCTCTCTACACACCATCCCTTCCTCCTCTTTCAAAATCTGTCTTTCTTAGTGAGAAGAGGGCTATAGCTGAGAGTTGGTCAGGCAGGAACTCTGTGGAAATCCATAGTCTCCTGTGCAACAGAGGGGAGGATATATAAGTGTACACACAGTCTACCCTCCCTGGGATTACCTCAGGGCTGTTCGTTGTTTGTTTGGATAGGGGGGATGACAGGGATGGCTTTTTTGGGGAGGGCAGCTGTCTACCTGGTGATAGTTTTGAAGACTGGAAGGGAATTTTCCACTCATTTGCAAATTGATTAGGGCAGGGTGGAGGCTTTTTTTTCTTTTTTGCCTACCCACAACAACCCAGAGACCTGGTGGGTAGGACCATAGGTATGACTCAAGCTGTCACAACTTGGCAAGTGTCCAGTGTAAGCACTATCTGATAGAGAGTCTCATTCAAGGACACACTGGAACTGAAAGTATCTCCTAAAGAAGCTGGGGAACAGGGTTGGGGTTCCAAATTTTTGCTTCAGTGGAGAAAAAAAACCCTTTCACAGCCTTTTAACCCTCATATGAGGAGAGGATGGTAGGTTCCCAGCCAGAAGCTGAGGACCAGCTGTGGTGGGGGAAGGGGCTCTAACAAGTGGAACAGATTAGGGAAGGAATGATGACCTGCCTTGTATGATTTATTGCTGGATAGTTCCCAGATGAGTTAATAAAGTTGCATTCACATTAAACCACATTCCTTGTGTCTTGTCTGTCTTCCTGCATGTCCAGAGCAATGAGAGAGCTTTAGAACCACTCCATGAAAATGCAGCCTGTGTCATTGCCAGCCTTGCTTTTTCTCTGTGTGGAAAAGTCAGAGATTGAGATCAACCTTAAATCCAGGTCTTTCTTCTGGTACTATAATACCTCATGTACCATGGTCAGATTTACCAGTCTTGTTGGCCTGAGTTTAGAAGCCCATTGACTTCATGGACGGGTGTGAATTTTCAGCACTTCTGAAGGTCACACCACTTATTTAAGTGCTTATTTTTAGTCTGAATACTTTGGCCCACCTTCAGAATAATTTGATTTGTCTGACTTGTGAACATATTTGAGCAGGAAGATATTAAGCGTATGGAAAAATGGTAAAAATCTGAATATTTTTCAATACTAGAACGTGTTTAAAATAAGCCACCCCACCCAAATCACACTACATCACTCCATTTTACTCATTATAACTCACTGATTTAAATGGAACTACAATGGGATAAAACAGGAGTAATGCAGTGGTGAATCAGGACCATGAAGATTGCAAGTATTTTCATTTATGAAAAAGTTGGAAAAATAAGTGAACTTTCATAATTAGGTTTCTCTTTATGAGTCAGAGGGCTCATTAATGTAGGAGAGAAAGACACCATAAAATCTAGTGGCTCACACCTGGAGCCAGATGAATTCAGACTGCAAATAAGTAAACGAGGAAAGGAAACAGTTGGGTAATTAATCACTGGAACAATAACCAAAGGAATATGATGGACTCTCCATCACCAAAGATCTGTTGTCTTTCTACAAGATCTGTTCTAGCTCAGTCAAAAATGATGGGATAAAGGCAGCAGTAGTTAGGTGTAACTGCATGTCCTGTGTTAAACAGAAGATAAAATGATCATTACTGTCCTTTATCCCAGCTGTACAGGAAAAAGAGGCAATATGTGAGTTATGCGGTTTAATTGACTTTGTTAACTCATCTGGGAAGTATCCAGCAATGAATCATACAGTGCATGTCATCATTTCTTCTTTAATCATTTCCACCTATTTGAAAGATGCCATCAGCCTTCAAACTTGTTCCTATCCCACTGCTAGGGATTCAGCATTGCTCCTCTGTTTGAGGGTTATGGGTTGGGAAGAGTGAGTTGTATCCTTGCTGTATCAGGCATTGGGATCCACAGTGCCAACCTGCAGCTTCTTTGGGGCATTCCTTCCTGTAGATCCACCTCACAATTCTGGCTCACGTGGGAACTAGAGCTGTGGAATGAGTACCTGAATCGGACATGTGCCAAAATGAGAATCAGCAATTCATTTGGCTGCCTCTCCTCCATCCTGCAGCCAGGTCCCCAGAGAATTAACAATTTCTTTCTTGACATGAATTAAAATACATCCCTCCCCTGACTTTCCACTTTACACAACTTCAGTCCTTGTCAATCTGTCCCCCTCTCAAATCCTTTGCTGCAGCATTTCAGACCAGTTTGTAACTCCCTCCCCCATCCTGAGTGGAGATTTTGAACCTGCCTTAAATCTTTTTTAACTTTCATGATTAAATCAGCCCACCTATAAAATCTCAAATCATTCCCCCATCTGCTCCTAGAGGCTGCTCCTGAGTGCCAAAGAGTAATAGAGAGGCATCTGCTGGTCTCAGAGCATGCCTCTGCTATCATGCTGACATAAAATCACTTTGTCACATCCAGGTGAACTAGCCACCTGCTGTGGGGCCCAATGCACAATCGTGTCCACAGATCCATAATTCAACTCACTTTAATGGGTGATGCTTACTGTTTCTGGTTAACTGTTAACTGGTGGGGGCTGGAGCAGCTTCCCACCAGCCACAGGCAGGGGGCTGCTCCACCCCCCTC